TGTTGTTCCTCAAATCTTTTTGTCGAAAAGATTATTGGAGTAATAACCCTTGGCTGGAAATCCAGGTCGGTCAAGTATAAAGCGGACTATCGCTAGAGTAATTGAATTTAATTCGTCTCTTGCGCCAGTTAGGCCTTTCCGGCAGAGGTGAAATATATAAATAGATACGTTAGTCAACAATGACGCTGAAACGAATACGCGAATACGCTGACTATCTAATTAATGATAAAAGTTTATTTGTATTGCCCCCATTCATCAGTCTCGGTTTCATATCCAACCTGAAGAAAGCATACCTCACGATGCGGTTGTTAAGGCCCATGATATCAATATCAACGACGTATGCCAGCAGCTGTTCACTCTTATAGATGATTGCACTTCCCCGACAAAGAGGTGGTTCAAAAGATTCTTATTTTCGGGGCTTGTCGCATGGTGAATATCTGCCAAATGGCGGCCTTGCGAAGTCTAAGCCCGCCCTCTCCTATTAGATGCCCAAAACATACTAAGGGATTTGCATATTCCTACGCATTTGGACTCTGTGTTGACACACATTTTTGCCTTATTTTCGCTTGCCTGCTCTCCCTGAAACCTAATAGATTTTCATGTAGCTGATATTTTGTGCATAAAAAATTTTGGCTGTGAAATTTTCATTTGGAAAATTTGAAAAAATATAATTTCTCGATGGAAATGAATTATTTATCGTATATATTTTTCTTTTGGATTCGTTTCTCTAATCATGTTTCTTTGCACTTCTTCATGTGGAAACATCAATCAAAGTGTGTAGATACAAGAAAATTAACACATGTGTATGTGTCTTTCTGTGAGCTTTCAATATTATACCCATCGTCAGAGCACCCCTCTTCAGCAGAGGCAGAAATCAAGTAAATGTTACCACAAACTGTTGGCGTGTCCTTAAAAAAACCAAAAATCAACAGAAAAATATGTAAATTACACTCAAACATGCATAGATGCACCCTCGCCTAAAGAAAATTTTCAGCATACACGTACTGTGGCTAGAATGTTTTTGTTGTTGCGTTTTATTTTTATTTTGCCGGAACGTTTATTGCATATTTTGCTTGCAGCAAGAAAATCAGCGCAACTTTTTGCTAAAATTAAATTGTCCTTGTTGTGCTTGCGAAGTGGTAAGTCCACACCAATTCAAACAGACATACACACATACGTGTATGTATTTGAGTGAAGAAAAAGTGCTACACATTTTGTTGTCATGTTTTTGTTGCAAGGCTGCTTCGCTGCTGTCATGTTAAATGCGGCGAAAAATTCCACTGTACATTTAAATATATATATATATATATGTATATATATGTATGGAGGTATTTTTGGAAGTGTTGGCAAACGGATGCTTGTTAGTTTGTAGATCGACAATCATATGCATAAAAAGGGTTACAAAAATTTACAGGATCCATGTACATATGTACACGTATATACAAAGCCGACATGAGCACAATAAATGTTGCTAATTTTGTATCCGACAATTTAAGTAGAGAAGCGCGCAAATTGAAATGTGTGGGTGGTAGTATTTTTGCGATGATATCAATTTATAGATGTTTCACACCAAAAATAAATATGAATATATAAAAAAAAATATAATATGAAATAATATAAACCTAAATTAAAAAAAAAATGAAATAAATTAAAATAAGATAAAATTAAATAAAATGAAATTAAGTAAAATAAAATAGAATAAAACAAAATACAAAAATTAAAAAAAAAAACAATGAAATGAAAAAAACAAATTTATATAAAAAAAAACAGAAAATAAAAAAAAAAAATAAAATAAAATAAAATTAAATAAAATAAAATATAGTAAAATAAAATAAAATGAAATGAAAAAAAAATAAATTTATATAATATAAAACAAAAAATAAATAAAATAAAATAAAATAAAATAAAATAAAATAAAATAAAATAAAATAAAATAAAATAAAATAAAATAAAATAAAATAAAATAAAATAAAATATTATAGTATAAAAAATAAAATAAAATGACGTAATATAAATTAAAATAAAATAAAAAAAAATAATATAAAATAAAATAACATCAAACCATGTTAAATAAAATAATTCGAATTTAGAAAAAATTTAATCCATTTAAATTAAATCAAATAGAAATAAAATTAGACAGAGGGAAATAAATATATATTTAAAAAAGCAGAATTTTAGTAAAGGAAGTAAATTCATAATTAATTGTGTTAAAATGTTAATTTTTTCCATACATTCCTCAAAAATTAATAATAAACTACCGAGCAAAACAGTAGAATAATTATTTTGTGGAATTGTTTGCTCCGATTGCTTTGGAATTTGAGTGGCTAGTTAATCAATAGTTGATGTTCTTATTTTATACAATATCAATTTGCTTTTGTATATACATTCATAAACATTTATTAAGCATATGTTGCAGACTGCATTTACAGTTCAAATTCAGCCCCAACTCTTCCCCACCGCCACTGCCATTGTTGTGTACACATAAATGATCCAAGAAAGTGTTTATAATTTTTGCAAAAAAAAAAAAAATTATTTACCATCTGGTTTCCAATAAGATATACATTTTCGTGTATCTTGTTTGAGTAAATCATTAAATTGTGGCAATTAACTTAGTCATTGGCACTCGTTTCTAATATATTAAATTTCTTTTTGTTTTTTGTGTGCAAAACAAACTTTATTTATTACTTTTTGCTAGTTCCTAATATTTTCTATTTACAACAACAAGAAAAATTCACAAATTTTCATATGTTTGTTTACGCGTGTGTTGGTTTGTGTGCTTACACCGAATTTTCATTCAGTTCAATATTCTGTTTGTTTGTTTACACGGTGTAAATTGTAAAATATCGAATTTTGAAATTTTAATCGAATCAATATTCGAATTCAATTTTTCCCGCAGGTGTTTGTTTATACATATACTGCGATACCTAAGTACATATTTACAAATGTTGGTTTATGTATGAAAATACTTTGTGCTGGTTTTAGTGTGTGGGAAATATACATACATATATATTATTTGCTGCTTACTAGTATACATGTGTGTATTTACAATGTCTCTTTTAGGTGAAAAAAATATTTTGAAAACGTTTTTCTTTGGCGATATTTCACTAATGAAGCTGAGGTGTCTTTCTATATATTACATTATATGCGGCCTGCTTAGCATTAAATAGAGTTAAAAGAAGACATTAGAAGAATTTTTTATTTAGGTTGGAAATGACATTTAAGCCTTCATTACCGTTTCAAAACTTTGTTTTAATTGAATTTTTGCAAATTAAATCTTTTATTTATTGGTATTATTATTATTATTTTTGAATTCAAGTTGCCTTTAGATTTATTTAAAATTTGTTATAAATGTCTAAATTTTTTTATAAATAAAATATATTCTAAGAAAGTTGAGACAAAGATACAGTGAACTGAGAAAACGACGAGCGGAGTTGTGAAAATTTAAAAATTAACAAGATTGTGAAGATAACAAAGTATTTAATTAAAGTAAAACAATGTAAACAATTAAAAAAAAAAACAATAAAATAAAAGATATGCATTTGCAAAAAATTACAAAATTAGTAATAATTACAAAGAAGATGTCAATTACATAAAAAGTTTATAATTAAAATGCTTAATCATCAAACAGAAAAGTTTATAAAAATATATGGTGGCTAATCAAAGATTTTCTACTTCAAAGAAAAAAGTTGTGTTTGCAAAAATTTTCAGTAAAATTATTCAAATAAAATTATCAACATCATTAAATAAAAATTGACAGTTTCCTTAAGGTTTTGATAACTAAACACATTTCTAAAATATAATTTTTTTCTACAAAAATACTGCAAATAACAAAAAAAAAAATTTATGTGTATGAATCTGAATAAGTTCGGTAATTAATTTTTTAAGCAAAAAAAAAAAAAAAAAATGCCGACAAATTTAAAATTTTAAGGAATAAATAAGAAATAAATTAAATATAACTTAACAGTCGATGAAATAAATTTATTATTCTTATTAAAAAATGCTAATATTTGTAGCAAAAAAAAATTAACAAACTGATGTTGAAGCCAATTAAAATTTATGCGGTAGCCAGCTAAATAAGCTTTTGATGAAAAAATAAAATAATTGCTCCGGCTTGTTTAAATACACAAAAGTGAAATTAAAATACTATTATAAAAATTATATAAAAAATTAACAGCTTAAAATTTATTTACCAAAAATATTTTTAAAATTCGATTAAAACACATAAATAAATAAAAGTGAGTTAAAAATTAAAATAAGTGAAAGTGCTTACTACTAAAGAGCTGAAAATTTTGTCAATAAAAATTTATAAAAATATGAAAATTTAAATAATTCTATTAAAATTCCCGTATAAAAATTATCGAAATACAAAATTCTAAATGTGTGTTTGCAACAATAATTCTAAAAACCAACTATCTAAACAGAAAGTAAAAAAATAAAGAGTGAAATAATAAGAAAAACACAACAAAAAAAATTGAATTAAATTATTAAAATCTGAGAAAAAACAGAAAATTAGTTTAAAATAATAAAGACATGCTTTTGCTTAGAAAAAAATGTCATACATTAACTAAATATTTAATGTAATTGTATATAATAACAAAATTAACGAAAAATACGCTCAATAGAAAATAAAATTATAAATATCAATTCAATCTTAAAAGCTGCAATGTAATAGACTAGAATAGAAAAAGTAGTAAAAAGTGCAAAAAGTACTAAAATTTAACTGTCTTTAACTGTTTTCAATAAACAAAATTTAAAAAGCAAAAATAAAATATCGCGTAATAAAAAGAAGATTAAAAAATAGTGCCCATTTTGAACTAAAGCAGCAGTAGTGTTGGTATTAAATAAGAATTTATGAGCAATTTTTTTATTAAAAAAATGTTGATAGTTGAAAAATATTTAAGCGAAAAACCAAAAATTTAATAGGAATGTTAAAAAAAAAACACAAAATTAAATAAAAATTTAAAAAATAGTTAAAAAAAATATAAAAATATAATTGAAAATTTAGAATACGCTTTAAAGTTCGGCAAAAGTGCGGGCAAACAATTTTTTTAAACAATAAAAAACGATTTTTTTCATCACCTCAAAACGAGTAGCAAAATATTTAGCCATAGTTTCGCTCAATGGCTAAATCGTGCCGAATCAAATATGAATATTAGTCAACCGACGAATGTCATTAGCTGTGAAGTTTCAGTGCGTCACCAGTGCGAGAGTGAGCAAGTAAGTGATTGAGTGAGTTAGCACGTTTCGATATTCGTATGAACTAAAACCAAAAACCGTAAATCCCGCAAATTCGCAAAATGCCAAATGTCATATACCGTTAGCCGGCCATCAACGAATGTAGCCACAAAATTTGAAGTCCACCCCGTTGCTTCGGTGCGGTACACAGTGTAAAGTGCATTCCAATAGAGAGACGTAACCGGTCAACACAAATCAACTAGCGACATATACAAAGGCTACATACCGGACATTGATGACTTGAGCTCGTTGCCATGTGTGCGTAAATACAAGCATATATGTGTTTGTGTGTGTTGAACATAAATCGATTATGGATTAGACGGAAATTTGATTGGTGAGTCTCACTTCCATCATTGCCCACATGGAGGCAGTTGCGATTGGCGTGTAACTGCAGCTTGGTTATATTTCGACGTCACGTGTCAACTGTCGTATAACGGTACACACATCCATGTATGACATCCACAATCAGCCGATCAGTTAAGTAAACGCAATTAAATACGGTGTGGTGGACAGAAAACCAGCTGGCACTTCATAGTGTGACATAAAAGTACTTGTGCAACACTCATACGCCATGGTGTCCCTCTCACTAGCGCGCGCTTTCTGTGAGGTGGGCATATGTTTTGCAGGTGCTTGTTAATTTGTAAATGATTTTAATAGCATTTGGAGTTGGTCAAAGGTGCAGTGTAGTGCCACTTTTTACTCTGCTCTGTCATCAATTACGCTAGGGTTGGTGTCGCCTGTGAAAACATGACTCCCTTGAAAAATTGCGCCTTCGGCGGACTTGGCTCAATTTGAGTGCGTGTTCGGTTAATGTTTTTGTGGTCGTATAAATGCAATAAAAAAACAACTGAAAGACTTGCTGAGCGCATCGGGGAGTTGATCGCAATAAAAAAAGGAGCTGCCTCTTCTTAAGATAAGAGTATTTTGGCTTTCGCGAATATAGAAGGTAAGCTTTCGATACATTTCTACAATGATTATTAACTTTTTATTAGAAATAATATTTATTTTTATTTTTATTAATTTAGTATAAATTCTATGCCAAAATAAAATAATTACCTTATTTCAAAGTAGTGTTAAAGAGAGCTCATTGAGAGTGGTGGCCGCGGTAGCCGAGTGATTAGCATTGCGTACTGCCAACGATCGATCGCCCCTCGACAGGGATGTCAACCCCTCCCTGTGTATTTCTCCCATAAACTAAATCTCTTCTTAAAAAACCATTCGGAGGCGGCTTGGTATAAACTGTAGATCCTTCCATTTTCTTTGGAGACGCATCAAGGCACAAAACCACAATTTGGAGAAGGAGCTCGGCCAAAAATCGGTTCAGCTATAGTGACATGAGAGTCATGTTAATGCTTAAAGCCACAAGCCAACAAAAGCATCCTTTGTATATGAGATTCTTATTCGATTTCTACCATTTTTCTATACTCTTTTACTGTCTCTTATCTAGTTGAGAAAAATAACTGCCTTCAAGCCTAAAGTCTTGCCACAACTTATTGCATAAATACTTAAGCAGCTCATCAGAGTGCAATGCTCGCAAGTGCGTGTGTGATTTTGGCTAGAAATTTCCACGCATCAAGCGATAAATCAACGCTTACAATCCCTTACTCAACAGCCGACAGTCAGCACTCGTGGCAAAGGGAGTAATTGAATTTGGCTGTCGGCACATCTTACAGTACATAAATACATTAAGTGAAGTTCTCAAGTCTCAGAATTTTAAAGCAGCATGAAAGTATATACGTAGACAGCCATATGTGTAGGACTTTTGACGCTGGACAACTCAGCTTGCTTGATATACAGTCGCAGGCAAGTGCGAAAGGTTTGAAGAGATTCTGGTTTTTGCGACTGACACATTTATGCTCGTGCAAATGTGTTTTTAAAAATTATTCCATATATTGCATACCGGGGAATATATGTGTGTGCTTATAAACATTTAAACAAACAGATAAGCAAATTCAAGAAGCTTTCACTTTTTGCGGTTAAGAACTCAAGTCATTATAACTTTGACTTCTTGACACGAGTTGAAAAGCATTAAAAGTTAACGGAATATAAAAGAATAATATATTGAAAAGAAATATATCAAAAGGCGAAAATTTATTGTTTAAGAGCAAATATAGAGATAATATATATTGCAGTATATTTAATTTGGTAAAATATACATAATTTCCATACATAAGTTTTTGCCAATTACCATAAAATATTTTGAGACATAAGTTATTGCTTACCATAAAATATAGCGATACAAAAATTTGACGCTAATCTTGAATCATTTGTATTTGAATGTAAATAAAATTTTGTAATTGCCATAAAATATTTTAAGACATAAATTATTGCTTGCCGTAAAATGTTGCAAGACAAAAATTGTTTCTAATCTTGAACTGTTGCCGATGTCAATTATATTTGAATGCAAATAAAATTTTGTAATTCCCATAAAATATTCTAAGACAGTAATTTAGCTTACCATAAAATTTGCAAAGCTAAGTGTGTTGTCATTCTTATCATACATTCGTTCCTATTAATATTTATTTTATTTTTTTGATGTACATAAGGTTTTGTATTTGCCAGAAAATATTTTAAGACATAAATTATTGCTTACCATAAAATATGGCGATGCAAACATTGATGAAAAACTTGAACTTTGAACAAAATTAATTTTTATTTATTTTTGCATATATGCAAATATACGTATATATATATATATATACGTACATAACTTACATTATACATACAATATGTGCATAAAGTTGTAATCATAATTTTATTACCGGACTGTTATATGGTACAAACATAACGCTTTACATTATAACAGTGTTGAAAATAGTTTCAACATATTTTTCACCGTTCAAACACATACACGCACACACCCACACGCAGATTGCATGGCAAAGAGTTTTGCTTAAAAAGAGCAAAAGATAAATAATATTGAAACTGAAACAAAACGAAGTAAGAATAAAACAATAAACAATACAAAAGCGCAGGGAAAAGTGTTGTTTGTAAGTCATTGCTTGTCGACGTGCCACTCAGCAACATGTGACACACATACATATACATTTATAACTACTCTAGTACCAGTTACTACTACGGCTGGCGTATTATACATCGATTGCACCTGTTGAGTCGCACACACGCGCTCGCACGCATACACTTTCATGCATATAAACACACTTACAAGCACCCGCTTAAGTATTGTCAGTATTTTATTGTTGTTGTACTCTTTTGCTTCCTTCCCTTTTGCGCCTCTAAAATATGCAGACATCCAGCGTTTCTTCATTTTCTCGCCAAATGAGTATGTATATCCGTGTATGTGGTGTTGTTGTTGCTGTTGTTGTAAGGCATTGTATAGTCTGTGCATAAAATACATTTTCCCTTCATGTTGCCTTCTCACGTTGATCTGCCTACTGTTTGCTCATTTCACTGTCCTGCGGCACAACTCTGAACGCTCGTACGTTCAGGCTTTTGTTCGGTGGCGGCAATGGTTGCTTTGGGTGTATGTGTATGTGTATATGTGTGTGTGTCTATCATTCGCCGTTTTACTGGTTTCTAGTGGCACTTTTGTTTCGAGTGCTATATACAACAAAACACTGTTACATCCAGTTACTTCCTACTTCCTCCGTACTACACACTTCCTCCCAGTCGGTCTCCTCTAGCATTGTCTTATTTCACTTCCGGCGTCATTCATTCTCATTTCATCGTTACTTTCTCTTGAGCTTCTAGTTTTAGTTCTTTTTATTTCTTTATTTCATTTTGTTTGAGTTTTTTCTCAGCATTAATTTCTCTCGATTGACATGCGGGAACTGTCACATATATATACATATGTGGATAGTTTTAATTACAATGGTGGAGTGTCAATGAAAAGTTATTTAATTTGCAAATAATTTTTGAGGAAAAAAGTTTTAGGAAAACCCGCTTTGAAAAAAAAACAAGTTAAATACTTTTTAAGAACTTTATAGTAAAAATAGAATTTCTCACATAAGTAAGAGCTTATTTTAAGCCACAAAGAATTTGTCGATGAGCTCACTACTAGCTTCGAAATGGTTATTAGGTTACTAGTTCGTAACAAGTTCACTAGTAACTGCTTGCTACTTAATCACTGGTTATGGTTCGTTTTCAACTAGCGGAAGTTAGCATTTTTATAACTTTTAATCCGAATTTATTTTACCTCTACTTTTGACGGTATCGAAGAATACAAGTAAATATATTTTATGCACTATATTTGCGCTTTTTCTTATTTTTATTTCAAGCAAATTGGTATTTTGAAATGTGTCGCGTGCCAGGCAGGTTTTTGTCATGTTGAAGAAATGCTTTTGTATGAGCAAAATAAAAATTGATATATTTTATTTTATGTAGAATACTTATTATGGTTTAGGGATCTGTCATGGGAATAAAAAATTATATTAATCTAATTTTTGACGTTTAAAAAAGAATTAAACAAGTACTGGTATTATAATTATGAAATTTTTAAGCAATAAAATAATTTAAAAATGATTGAATTAAGTTTCACAGGTATTTCAAAAGTAAGCTCATAAATTTATTGATATCCTAATTATATTTTGGAGCTTAAATTGATAGGATGTACATGATTAATTGAATTTTAAAATAATTTTTGAAAACCTTCATGTGCTCATTGTAGCATTTTTAAGAATTTTAAATTTTATCAATTTTTCCGAGCAACGTATGCCTTGTTTCCAGTTTTTTCCGTCACTTATTTGAGCGTCAATTAATTAATTGTTGACAACCAACTGCAATATAGTATAATATTTAGTACAAATACTCGTTCAAAAAATGTTACTCATACGCAGCGTACGTGCGCTTGGTTTCAAATATCTCGCTTTCATACTTGATTTCTCAGCTGTAAAGCCAATAAATACCTAAAATCGTATATCTTAAAAGCTAAATGCTGTTCAGTTAAGTTGGAAATTCATTTACAACAACAACAACAAAAAAAAAAATAAATAAACTAGAAAACAAGCAAATAAACTTACTTCAGTATAAAATTCGTTTTAGCTATGCTTACTAGTTGTTAGAGTAGAGCAAAAATCCAAACAGTAACAAAAACTGAAAAAACTTTATTCACATTAAAGTGCAAACGAATTGCGCCTTGTGCATCTTCAATGTAAATCTTAAATTTTATTTATACACGCACGAGTGCACAGCGGTAAAACTTTTTGCGGGAATATCGACTAAGAACTTGCTGTTGGATTGTTTAAAGTAAAGCCGAAATTGCTATTTAGGTTTATACTAACATAGACTAGAATATGCACATATAAAAAAACTAAGAAATGCAAAAAAAAATATTAAATAAATAAAAAAAAGTGTTTTTTTTTTGCTATTTTATTCTGCTGCTTCTTTTTGCCTTCCTCTCTCTTTTTTTGTTTTCTCATTCCTTTTGTATATAGTGAAATTTTTTTGTTAAGCAATTTTATTTCAATGCTCCATATTTCTTTTCTGCGATCCACTTTTTAACTTTTTTAATATCGTGATTTCATTTCTTGGGTTTTACAGCGAATTTCGCATTTAACTCTGAATTTTCCCTCTCTATCACACTTTTACTTACGATTGCAAGTAATCATACACATATCATATTTTATTTTTCTGTTTTTGCTTTTATTGTATTACTTTCCCGTTGTTTTCAAAGCATTCCAGGCATTCAGTCGACTTAAATCCCTTTTCGAATACGTTTGTTGTAGGTTTTCGTGCACTTTTTGGCATTTTCTGCGAAATGTAATACATAAAAGTAACTCTCGGGTGGGGTACAAGCGTATGTTTGTATGTATGTGTGCTCATTTCAGTGCATCCCGAATGTGTTGTTGGCCTCATTCGTTCACTTCGTTTGAAAACATTTCACAGTTAAAGTGTCCAAAAGGGTGAATGGGGTATAATTAAAAGAAGAGCCTTCCTCTCTTTATCCAAAGGAATACCAAGGATTCAAGCTGAACTCTTAATTAAAGG